AAATTTCAGTTCAGTTTCTATTTCTTTCCAGACACTGCAGATAGTTTCAAATGTATTTCAGCCATAATCACTGATCTCGTGCACCGAAGTTTTATGCGTTTTATGTGACAAATTGTTTTCGCCTGGAGGAGCGAAAATTTACAGTGGGAAAAACTTTTTTGAACAAAGCTTATTGTCCGTGGCTTATTGGCCCCTCTATCACCATATTTTTCATCTCTTTTTTTTCTTATGTGATTATTTAAAACATGTGATTTACGTGAATATCTACAATTTGCTTCGTGAGTAACCGCTTGCAATTACTTAGTTGAAGAAAAAATACATCATCTATGCTTCAATCATGTTTTATATTTATGAAAGCAAGAGTCATTCAACAAAAGTTTGTCTTCCCAAATTCAGTAAATCAAACATAATTTTTACCCGCTTTTTTCTTCAGGCTTCACAACACCCGGAGAGTTACTTACTCATTTATTATGATTGCCTTCATGGTCATTGGGAACTTTCAGTCCAGCTTTGTACATTTAGTGAAATTCTTTTCAAAGTAACGTTCTAAACAACCTGTAGTACATAGAGTGAAAATTTTGGCTTTCCATATTTTTAATTATTATTTGAAAATTAAGTCTGGAACAACTAACCCACAGAATTATTAAATATATGTAAAATTCTAAATTACGGATTTTGAGACACAGCAGTTTTAAATTCCTTATTCTATTTAAACGCATTAAATACAAGGAAAAACGGGAGAAAAAAAATGCATAATATAAAATTAAGGTACTTGTGTCATAATAAAAATATGCTAAAATGATAATAAATTATTATGAAAAATTATTAATTAAGTTTTTGAATGATAGATAATTTACAATATAATAGAACATGTTTACTTTGTCAAATTATTTTTATTGAGACAAATTTTTTCGTCAGAAAAAATTTATTTCATTTTTTAAAAAATTATATATCTTTTAAAAAAGAGAATTCTACATTCACTCTACATTCAAATGCAGACTTACTACCCAAAACTCAAATCAATGTTACTAATGTAGTTTTATTTTATTTTCTGTTTACGGCAAACAGTGTTCAACTTGTCTTGATATTTTGAACCGAATTTAGAAGACAAGGCAAGTCCTGGATCTAATATTGGGAGATATTTTTATTCCCTGTAGGATTTTTCGATGGAATCAATTTGTGTTAAATTGAAAGGAAGGGCATGAAAACATCCCACGGTTAGCCTGACGGCAAGGGGAGTCTAACCAAGGATTCATCTACCACTGAAGATATTTTGAGTCAGAACTGTTGTTGGTGGTACCGGGTGCGGAATTTGTACCGAAAAGCCATTGCTGGATTGGAAACTAGTGCACCTCTTTGGAAAGCGAGCGCTATAACTCCTGAGCCACCACGGCTGTAATACATAGTTTAAATTTAAAAAAAATATGTATAGTACCATCAGAACGTAATCAAACTTTTAACGACAAACACTACACGCTATCAAGATTTCAAAAAATACAGCTGAACTGCCTATTTCTTGCAATTTGATTAAAAAGATTTTATGTTAAATAATATTGAATAATTTAGATGGAAATATTATAGTAGATTGAAGCATAAATGTAACAATTATTCAAATCAATAATGAGTTCATATTCAATAATTATTTCACCATCGTGATATGATATTAAGTGTATTAAATTAATTTTGGCTGTCGATATTCTTAATATGTAATTTGACTTTTGCATAAATTTTTTAAAAAAATGCATTTTGTTCAGGATAAAACAATTTAGTAAAATAAAGTTCAATAAATAAAATTTAGTAACATTTAGTAAAAGTTTAGTAAAAAAAAGAAGAAAGAAAGACATCGAACTTACATTTCTAACACCACTTTTGAGTAAATTAATTTTGTATTCATCAAAAAAATATTTTTTTTCTAATTTTTGAAAATTTACTACAAGTAGTCTAAGGTAAACTGTAATCTAGCAATTATAATTTTTCTATTAATTAATGGCTTTAATATAGACATCAAACTGTGCAATTAAACATCGTATAAAGATCTCTTAACTGCATTGCGACTAATATTCATACTACTTTCTTCGTGTAACCATTGCAATTTAATCTGTAGTTTTCTTGCAGTCAGACAATAAAAAAAATGCCAGATCAAATTACTGCAAAAAATACCGGCACTCAGGGTGCCGGTACTTTTTACCGGACTATGTTTCTGTACAAAAAATCTGATATACCGTAGTTTTTAGAATAATAATTACAGTAAAATCATTGAATCACTCTATTTAAATAAATATTACCTTAAAAATTTTTGTATAATATTTTACTGTAAAAATGGACTTATACTGGATTCTACGGATAAGGCATCCAAAGTGCCTGTACTTTATACCGTAATTTAGTTCGGAAATTTTTATGGTGTACTATAATTTTCTTTTTTATTATGCTGCTCATATTTTACCGATATTTTCTAGGACAACCACTTTTAGACTTACANTTCTTAAGCGTTGTAGCTATATAATTTCAAACATCCTCAAGAGCTATAACACATCTGCAGCAGAACTGGATATGAAGACAAAATTGCTGGACAGGAGCACTTTAATTGTCCACTAATCTTCAGATTTCCTGCTATGTTTTAACCTTCAGCGTGGCGGACAGCTGGCCGCCTTAGGCGGCTAGTTATTAATAATAAGGTTATTTGGAGGTGGCTTTCCAAATAGAAAAGACGAAATTTAATTGGAGAATCATCCTTCTTCAAATGACTTTATTACTCTTAATAATAACTCATAAAATAAGCATATATCTATAATGAAAGCTTTGTTACTGCAAAGAATTTTTTTTGTTGAAAATTTTACTGAATTACTAATTTAAAAAATTTTATTCATTAAAAATTACTTAAATTAAAAAAATAATTTGGCCTGAGACGTTTAAACGGAACGTTAGACATTAAGACGAAAATTTGTGACTTATAATTATACATGTGATTATATAAAAGTAGCACTGTGATATTATTGGATTTTTGATATGGCAATAAATAAAATTAAAGTTGTTTATTTTTCACTGTTGTTTCCTAATAATAGGATCTTGAAGCTTATATACATCATTATTCTTAAGATGGACAAAAAAATCTTGAATACCTGAAGACTAATGATGAATATAAGCATCAAGAATTTATTTTTAACTTTACTTTTATTAATTTAAGTTTCAAAATTCTTTGTTTCAATCTTGTGGAAACTAAAATGAGTAAAATTTCATCAAATAAAATGGCAAATTTTGGTAATTTGTATTTCGTTATTAATTTTCAAAACCTATTTCCGATAAGACTGAACTTCCTAATATATTTGAAAATTTAACAAAAATTGTTTCCATTAAAAGATTTTAACAAAATTAAATGCTTTAAATATAATAAATCTCTTATTAGCAGTATATTTTATTATAATTATATTAGCAAATACATAAAGAAAATTAATATATACAATTATGAATGTCACTGTGAAGAAGAGATACATTTTAAATTTGTTGATAATCATCATAAACATATTATTAATGGTAATTTAAATATTACAGAAAACTTAGAACTTAGGAATTTAATGATAAAAGCCGCAAAATTTTGACACATTTACCATATATCAATTAATAAAATTTTAAAATACTTTCTTAATGATTTCAATAGTTTTTGTTTAATGAAATCAAATAGACTCTGTTTACTTTTAGTCATGTTAACTGAATGTAAGTGGGCTATTTAATATTAATTTCAAAACTTTATCTTGAATAATAAAGAAAATTTACATAGCAGTAACAATTCAAAATTTTTTTCAAAAATATTGGTAATTGAAGCCGTTAAAGAAAACAATATAAGTCACATGAATTAATTGACATTTCATGTGTGCTTAAGTAACATTCTTATATCTTTTTATCATATAGTGATTCTTTCTCACATTTGTATACATCGAGACAGGCAATTAAAAGTATATTATACACAGTTCACTATTTGAATAATGCTTAAACAGTAGTCATCATAAGGATTTTGAACCATGAAACAGCTATACTTTCGAGGTGTAGTAACATCTAACTAAGTAAGTAGAACCACTACGGCCAAATTAATGTTCATATAAACCTGCTCAAAATTTTCGGATTCCAAACTACTGTCTTCTAAGACATCTTGAAGCTTGTGGAAACATGGGACAGTATTCTTGATTGAATTCCACGATGAGCAACGATTTTATTATAATTATTAAATAAAAATTATTTTTATTATTACATTACTCTTTTTAGAATACCAAACTTTAAGCAGATTTTAAAGCAATAAAAATGTGTCAATGTCTTACTCAAAAACTTTTTTCGCTGCAAAATTATATACAGTATATATATATATATATATATATATAGTATACTAAGAGAAACTTTCAGATTTCAGATTGTAAAGAAAAGAAAGATTTTGTTTTACCATAGAAAATGTCTAATTAAATGTGTTCCAAAATTGCAGGGATATTTAAAGGTCTTAAATAGATTACAAACACACAATTCTTTCTTTCTTCTTATTCTGTTTTAAAATAATTATTTTTGTTTAAACACTGCAAGTTGGGAATAACTCCATACTTTTAAAAAATATTTGAAACTATTCATTATGGAGCGGAAAATATTAAATATTATTTAAATGGAAAACATTTTATTTTTTGTTCTATTCAGTACTTTTTGAAAGAATCCTGTATATTTGAATTTCTCTAAATCAGCAAAAGAATTTTTATAACTGCTCTTAGCTATTTTGAGGCGTGAAAATTCTCTAAAACAAAATAACAGACTATAGATCTGGAACATTTTTCTGAACATGAGTAGGGTAACGAAAGAATTTTATTTCCCTTAAAATTGCTATTTTCCTTGATTTTGTAAAAGTTTGTGAGATTTTCTGCTCTAATAAATTCATGTTGTTATGTTAAAAAAAGCATGCAAATTTAAGTTCAGAAGTAAAGTCCGAAAAGCTGCAAGATAAGTAAAAAAAACGAATTACTTTTTTGTAGGATACCTGTCAGTCATGAAGTTTAAAGAAATAGTGGCCATCATTTGCAGCATATTCCAATGCTGCAAGGGGAAAAAAGAAATTAAAGAACAGAAAAGCCATGAAGATGAAGATGATGTAAGAGAAGAAGATGATGCAAAAATTTCAGGAGGTTAGTTAAAATTTAATGAACCATAAACGGGTATCTGTCTGTGGCAGCGTGGCGTGGGTGATGTTGCTCGCCTCCGTGACTTAGTTTCACAGGTGCCCACTGGGTAACGTTAAATGAGCAACACTTCCTGCATCTTCCGAGGTGAAGAGCATATTTTATTAACATTATAAAAATGGCATTTGTGACGGGACCGTTAAAACAAAACGATACGTACAGGAAAACTAAAGATGCGGGAACGATGGATCGAAGTTCCACCGTATAGTGCTAGCAAGCAACAAAACATTATTTTATTTTAAGATGATTTTCAAACATGTTTAATCAACAGTTTGAAAATGAGAATTAAATGAGCAAAAAAATGTCGAATAGTATATTAGATACATAATACTCCTCATTATAGCTCATTAATAAAAACTTAAAAAAAAACAATTGCTATTTTAGTAGAGGAATAGTTAAATTCCCTTTAAAGTGAAACTTTTTATGAAAGGTTTAAATTGTGAATTTGGTAAGATTTTGAAAAGTAATTAAAATTATGTATCGGGTTGGTGGGAATTTCTTATTCTTTATGAAAATGAAAGACGAGTTTCTTTGAGTGAATAAATATTTTATAGAATTTTATATTGTTTATTTTGACCCACTAACTTTTACTATCTTTCTGGCAGAAGCATAATTCCACGATCATAAAATTTTGTTCTCAGCTTTCAGAAAAAAAAAAGAAAAAAAAAGGAAAGAGAAAAGAAACGAATTCAGGTTATGTTTGACTTCTTCATTTGAAGTAAAGGTTTTAGCATTTGAAAACATTTTGTACCGAAACATCTCTATAAACAACCCATTTTTTATCCTCAGTGATGATGCGCTTCAAAACTAGATCCTTTTCTTGACGTTTGAGAAGCAAAACACAGACATCAACACAAATTTCTTTAAAAAACGAGAATATGTCGAAACATTAACTGCTTAAAATAATCAGGTATGGTCGAGTAAAATAAATTTAATTTATCAGAAATCTCAAAAGTAGTTATTCACTGGTGTGTATTAATTGATGATTTTATTGTGTTATCATCCGTTTTAGATGGCTTTCCAGAACAAATGCATTTTCGACATCAATATTGCCGGAAAGAAATCTTGCAACTGACACTGGCGCTTTGTCAATACACACCAGATATTTTCTTTTCGTGCTTGATCTGTGTCTTTACCTCTTCGATAGTGAAATAGAAAAATATTCGGAAATAGAAACTTTTTCTCTACTTTCTAATTCACACAGCAATCGCGTAGAATCAATCAAATTTTTTCACAAGTTAATATCAGCTATCTAATGATAGGGCAGCTGAAATGTGATGTTCAGTGAAAAAAATGCCCTCTGTTCTGAAAAAAGAGTTTTCAACAGAGACAAAAAGTTATAGTTAAACTCGATAGTTCACAACGAAAGCCAAAACTCTACAAAAAGCGATACCACTCGTGTAAAACTCAATGCCATGTGTATCTTTGAAGGTCATTTCTGATATCGTTGAAGGTCATTTCACCAGAAATTGCAAAAAATATAAGAATTAGCTATTTATGAGCAAACGAATCATTCTAATCTTAAAATATATGTGTTATGAACTGGGAGTATATAATAAGCTAATAATTGATTAACGAATATAGTCATAAACAGAAACAGTCTTACTTACCATTTCCTTTAATATTATGTTACTTGTTTTTAACATAGATTTCCTCTTTTTGCTGATTCTCAAACAAAAACTCACCAAAAAAATAAAAGTTGACTAATACAACATTCATTATGGTAAAAACGCCATTTCGGCATATATCGATGATTATATACAATTTCTCAGCTTATAATGTACTGTTTTTAGTTGAATCAATAACTTGTAAAATTTTCAATTTTTGAACTGCATAGCTCAACGAAAAGCACAAATATCACATTATTGCTTACTATCAAGCATGAGTTTTAAAACATTATTTTTTTCGGTGCTCCAAATTGCGAAATTTCTAGGGGGGGGGATAATGGTATTTAAACTTTTCGCTTACTATTTAACATGAAATCATGAGTATTATTTTACAGTTATAAAAATATTTAGTTTAAATAATCATTTATTTATTTATTGTATTTTTCAGCTGTCAAACGTTTCAAGATTGAATACCCGGCAGAAAATCCTTCTCTGTACCTCATTGAAATTTTCAATGAGGTGGAGGATTTCTGCAATATGAGGGTAAGAAGAGTTTCCCTAGCCGGACAGGAATGACTCAAGAACATAAAACAATTGTGTGATGCAGAAAAAGAAATGTAAAATATTGATTGTGGTCTTAATTAATAAATCACAATTTTTTGGTCAAGCATTTTATAGTTTTATTTCTAAGAAGTCTAAACTGTGAAATTATACAATTTTAGAAAATGAAAGATAGCAAGGTTTTTTATTCCTTTCGACAAAGTTTTAAATTTTTCTAATAATTACTTAAAAATTTAAGTAATATACAAAGTACACAAAATCAACTACTATAAACACTGAATTTGATGTTTTGTAAATTAAAATTCTCAAACAAACTGTGTGTTCAGATTTAAGAACGGAAGTTAACGTAACAATTAATAGGTCCTCCTGTTTTGAGTTTTGACACATATACAAATAAACATTTTAAAATTATAATTGCTAGAATTCTTTAGATATTGTCTCAAAACTGGTAGAATTCCATTTCTCGAGTTAGCAAAGAAACAGCTGTAACAAACTGAGCGTGAAGTTTGGCTAAAATGAAGGTTTGTCATCCAACAGTTCATACAAGTAATGCATTTCATGTTTTCTCTTTAACTATGCTTTTTATATTGCGCACTTCATACTCTTTAAATCTATATTTAAATTTATAATAAACGCGTTTTACTGACACAAATCTACAGGCAATACATTTCTCATTGATCTACTTCACTTTTTTTTAACAGAGGTATACTACCTCCATTTTTATTTACATTCGTTACTAGAATTTTTATTATTTAATTTTCTCACATTTTTTGGTACCTTTATTTTACAAGTTTGAATTAAAATAACGAACTTAGAACTATTATATTTCAGAAAACTGAACTCTATAACTCTACTACTATAAATTTTCCCCTCTCTGATGTGGAAGAAATTTTAATATTTTTAAATTAACAATAAAATGTACACAAATCGAATCGTAATGTATATAAATTTTTAAAAAAAACTTTTAAAATCAAAAGTTTCCCAGTATGTACATATTGCATCATTTTAAAGAGAAATACAGCAATGCATGCAAATCTAAATTGAAGTACATAATTATGCAATTAGCAAAGAGAAGCATTCCGAGAGGATACGAATTCAGATCCGAGTATCCATAAGCACAACGAACAGGAGGTGTTACCCTGGTTTATTAGTACAATATCTCATTTTGAGTTCAAGAAGTAGAATATGGAACAGTGTCATGTCAACTTAATGTACACAGTATGTCACTCACGATTCGTTTAGGCTACATATCATTGTGAGCATAACTCTACATAAGCACAATTCATCGTGGGCAAAATTCGCTGTAAATATAATTCGCCTTGAACTCAATTCGTTGAAGGCACTGCTCGTAGTAGCGTGAAAACAATTTCAATTTTTATTTTTCTCTTTAAATTATAAAAATGTTACTTTGGTGCATGTTTGTTATTCCTATGATATTTCACGTCGTCCACTGAATGTTTGATCGGCAGCATATTTACATGCCCAAGACCAAATTTCTGATGGTTTTTCTTTGATGGACCAACATGAATAAAATGATAACCATCACGACCTTCCGTCAAAAACCATCTTATTTTTATGATGGTACCATTAGGACTGACCATCACCTCTTATTAGAAATTGGAACAACTTTTTGTTGAGCTAACATGAACAAAACTAAAATGGTTAGATGGTCCAACAAGAAAATCTATGAAGAAACAACATGGCTTGATGGTATTTTTCGATGGTCCAGCAAAAAAATTCATCTGGAACCAACATATTTTGTGGTTTTCCAACTTATATTCCATCAAAAACCATTTTAATTCCTGTTGGTACCATAAAGTCTGTCTATCAAAGTCTGTCTATGGAAATTGGAACAAATTTATGTTGGGCCAACATAAACAAATCCAACATAGTTTGATGGTACTTTTTGATCTTCTAGCGGAAAAATCATCAGGAGCCAACATATTTTAATGGTATTTTTCACTCGTCCAAAAAAAACTCTGTCAATAGCCAACAAGGTTTTATGATATTTTTTAATAGTCCAACAAAGAAATTCATCAGGAACCAATATATCTTGCTGGTTTCCAACTTATATCCCATATTAATTTCTGATTGCACCATCAAGACTGACCGTCATCCCATGTTAAAAAACCAACGTGTGTTGATGGTTTTTCTTGATGGCCCAGCAATGGCCAGCAATCCCTCATATGTGAAAGGTTTCCTATTTAATATCCCATCAAAAACCATCTTTTCTTTGATGGTATCATCAAAACTGACCATTACTCCATATTAGGAATTGGAACAACTATATGTCGACCAACATGAGCAAAACTACATGGGTTAAGGGTTTTGTTTGATGGCCAAACAAAATCAATCCATCGTATTTTAATGGTTTCAAACTTAATATCACATAAAAAAATATTTTATTATTTGATGGTACCGTCAAGATAGACCATAGAAAAAATATGAGCGAAACCAACTTTGCTTGATGGTATAACAAAACCTGAATCAACGCATTCTAATTGTTTCTATTTTAGTATTCAATCAACAATCATCCAAGATCATCGTCAAGACTGTTCATTACCCATCGTTCATTTTGTTTGCTGGTTAATGAAAAACAAATATATATTGTAGTTTTCCTAATGGTTCTAAGTACATTGTACACAAAATTGGCTGGCTACAACTATAACTTTTCGTCACAATCCATCATGTTTTTTTAATGGACATTATCGGAATTGGAACATCTTTATGTTAGTCCAATTTGCATTTGAAAATAATATAGATATTTTTTGGTATGGAATACTATGTCAATATCGGCTATAGTTATGTAGAAGTTTTATTATTATATTCCTTTATAATAATTTGTCATTACAAGTTGATTTCTCTCATTTTAATTTTGTAAGGTTGCCTCGACCTAAGCAAAATTAAAGCTTGAGACTCTAATTATAAGGCAGACATTTACTTGCATAAAGTTTTATCCTGAATTTAAAACAAGGTAACATTCAATAATTAATTTTTTTATTTAACATTAAGATTGAAGAGCAAATAAAAATTTCCTATAGTGTATAAGTGCAAATTACAACAAAAAGATAACTTTGATAAATAAAGACAAACATACAAATTTAAAGCATTTATTTGAATACTTTATTTTTAATGACATTTCCTAATTTTTTTACACATATAATTTGCAAAAGTATTTGACATACATAAATGTTGAATTTCAATAATTATACTGATGAACTTTTTTCCCATACATTCGCGCATCATAATTGTAAAGTAAAAATTCAAATTAAATCACATTAGATAAACAAATGACACTAGCTTTGTGCCTACTTTTACCTTGAAAATAATTACAGGTCTGCCAACCACTACGCTTTTCGAAAAATATTTTATTAGAACGGTGGACAACTAAAAACCAAAACTTTTAAAATTTTGGTAATTTTGGCAACAATTTAAAAGCTTTACCCCGGAAGAGCTAGAACAAAGGGATGTTGCATATGAACTTTTAAATCATTTATATGTACTGGTGTGGAAAATATGCCTAAATGAATAAAAAATAATTCGTTGAAACACAAACTTAAGTAGCACTAGAATAATTTTTTGAAAAAAGCTTAGAAAGTTGGCTGCCCTGTAAACATAAAAAATAAATATAGTCCTGGGAGAAAATATTACGTAATTTTCTTAACACTAGAAAAACTGAGCACTGCTTTATACCTTAAAAAATCTGAGAGTATCAGTTTGGCCCTCCCTAGATTTTTCAAGTGTAGATCAATAATTAAACATCCAAAATCTTAATATAATTATGTGATAAAAATATATTATAGGCTTGATCATTTAAATTCCATGGTATTTTATTCTATATGATTAACGAAAATATTTGATTAAACAGAACACTGTACTTTTAATTATATGTATACACAATTTCTTACTTAATTGAGTTTTTTTTAATGAAACTGGGATACCTTATACCCGAAACTATTTGGGGTTCTGAGTTACCTACCAAAATACCAAGGGGTCCCTCCGGCTCCTTGCGTCATTCTAGGTATAACGTTCTGTATACATATTTCTGTTATGCTAAGGCTTGAATAATTAAATAAGCACATAAATTGGAACAGATTTTGGAAGGTCCGAAATACTCAACACTTTCACTAAATTATTTTTCTGAATGTGCAGTTACAGCTTTCTTATTTCTTTTTATTTCCAACCCTAACTTTTTGGAAATTCTTTCCTGAAATCGAAAATCTTATTGTTTTTTTCCCACCAAATGTTTATTTAATTATTAAACACTTAAATTGCCCAAAAAAACCTCGGAAAGAGAGGAAATCAAAAATTATCCCTGATTGGTTTTGACATCACATGTGTTGAATGGAAACATGCCACTTTCACTATGCCAGCTACAATAGCTAAGGTTATTTCAATGCTCTTTTAGTTCTAATAACACTTACATCGTATGAACGTTAGTTGTAAATTATTAGTACAAATTTTGTGGATTAAATTCATGGTTTTGAGAAAAGGCGTGAAGTGACACAATTGAATCAAAATTATTCTAAATTTATAACACATCATTTTAATAAGTAATACCAGACATACATAGCTCATTCTAACATCTTTTTGCTGAACTAAAAAAATTTAAATATACAAATCTAGAAAATTTTTTCAACTATTAACAATGTTTCAGTGGGTACCATTGAAATTTAACATTATAAGAATACTTTACATCAAACCCACATTTTCATTAAGCTACGTTAGGGCACAATTTATAATTCAGATAGTTATTGACGGTGTAAAATAGTTTGACTTAATTACAAAAATTGTATTTAATTATGAATGTATTGGCTTTCACAGCACAGTAATTGTAAATGAACGACAGATGTACAAGTGTGGCTTTAGTTTGTGAATAATCGCGTGACTCCAAATTTCAGGTGAAAACAACAGTAAGCGCTTTTTGCTTAAAAATAAATTTAAAAAAAAAAAAACACTCTCAGGAAAGTAATAAAATGTTTTCTAGGACTTTTAAAAGAATTTGAATGCATTAAGATGTTTTAAAAAAAATTAACTTCAATTTTCCATTATAGAGTATAACCAAAAAAAAGGGGGGGGGGTAATTTTGCATCATCCATCTTTCTA